TCTTCCCCGAAGCTTTGCTGGATCGGAGCCCGGGGATCGTCATCGAGCTGAACGTGTGCTGAACTCGGAGGTGCCGTACGTTCGGTGGTTGGATCGGTCGGATCGTGAAGACGTACGACTACATCAACCGCGTTGTCATAACGCTTCCGCTTACGGTCTACGAGGGTACATGGACAACACTCCCCCCTCTCGTTGCTATGCCATCACCATGATCTTGCGTGTACGTAGGAAAATTTTGAAATTACTACGTTCCCCAACAGGTTGTCCTAAGCTTCGAGATTAATGTGGACCTCCCTCTGTTTTTCGATGCACCGGCGATCAGGCAGTCCAGTGGTGGTGCCGAGTTATCTTACTACTAGTAGTTCATGGTTGTACTTCCTCTATTTTTTAGTCTACATATAAAATTTGGTCAAATTCAAACTTTGTCAACTTTGACTAAGTTCATAAGAAAAATATTAACACTCACAATATGAAATCAATATTATTAGCTGCATCATGAAACTAATTTTCGTACCATATAGCTTTAGTATCCTACTCCCTCCGTTCCTAAATATAGCTTTAGTGTGACTTCTCGATTGCTGCTCCGAACCTCGTGCTTCTGCACCTCATCGCACCTTACCTGCGAGTTCCATCATTCAAGAACCTGGGTTCGCTGGTCACTGGAACTATCATGATAGATGACTATTTCTTGAGTGATGACTTCAGTGAGGATGACGAGTATAACAAAACCACTGATGATGATGTTTCTGAACACACCATTGATCAAGAGGATTCTGATGAAACTACTACTGATGATGATGATGACGACAACGACGACGATGATGCGGCTAATGATAATAGCAATTATGGTTCTGAGCACATCATTGAGCAAGAGGATTGTGATGAAACTACTTCTGATGATGGTGGCGATGATGATAGCAGTTATGTTTCTGAACACATCAGTTATGATTCTGAACACATCATTGAGCAAGAGGATTGTGATGAAACTACTTTTGATGATGGTGATGATGCTGATAGCAGTTATGTTGAACACATAACTTACGTTTCTGAACACATCATTGAGCAAGAGGATTGTGATGAAACTACTTCTGATGATGGTGACGATGATGATAGCAGTTATGCTTCCGAACACATCACCAATCAAGTTGATTGTGATGAAACAACTGATGATGACGGTGATGATAGCGACGATAAGGATAAGAAAGAGAAGAGCTATAAGGCTGGTGATGGCTCTTTCTTGAGTGGTGATGATTCTGTATACATCAGTGAAGATGATGTTTTCGCTGAAAGCGCTGACAGGAAGATGGTTCTGATAATAGAAGAATTCTAAGATTGGGTATGGGTCTGATGGTCAGAACAACAATTATGATCATGATAATGATATCGATAGCGATGACACCTATGAATACAGTGAGATTGCACAAGAGAGAAAGTATGGTTACCATGCTGACAGACAAAATTCTAGTGAAGATAATTGCTATCATAGCTATGAAAACAGTGAAATCAATTATAGTGAATATCTTGGTGGCCAAAACATCCTTCGAAGTCTTTCAAGTGTTACAAGTTTGGGGTTGTTAACTGATGTTGGAGAGGTATATTTGCCACCATATTTTGTTGATCGCTCTCTCTTTCAGTATGCTTACATTGGTTTCCTTCACATTAGCCAAGTACGTTTACAGATCAATTCTCTTATGCTTGCCAAAGACACGTTTTTCCTTCCACCAGAACATATAGTGTTCCCTGAGCAGATTCCGTACCTTCTGCTTTCTAGTAGCATCAAAATCTGTTTATAGAGGCGCGGCCGACATTACAAAAAAAATGTTCAAGTGAAAAATAGTTCTACATTATTTCATCATAAAATGGAGTCAGTGAATCAATTAGAAATGTTAGCGAATAGCTTTGGGGAGCATCTTTTATTGATGGAGATGGTTAATTAGCATTTTTTCAATATTGTTTCAATAGTGTGGCTATTCATAAGTTCACTGTTTTTATGTTATTGTATGTTCAACTATAGCATCGTCTTGTACTAGTCTATGTGAATTTCCATTTACATAATTATACCAGCAAAAAAAAGATGAATCGTAGTGTAATAGTAGGTGCTGATCCTCTAATAATGTATAACTATTTAGTTTTTTTACTTTTAACATGGCTTATTTATTTTCTTCTCTAAATACCAAATAACCCGCTTGTATACAGTGTGTACAATACTAGTTGATTCTAATTAACATTGTTCTTTATGGAATACTTTTTTGTGTGCAATATGAAGGTGGTTCTGATTAGGGAATTGAGAAGACGTCCAACCTTTAGCAACCTAAAGATCTTGTCCCTTGGTGAATGGTGTATGGCTCCTGGTTTCGATGCACTAATTTTCCTGCTCCAACATTCACCTGTTATAGAGAGGCTTTTTCTCCAACTTAAATTGGTATGTGTTACGTGTATATTCGTTGTTGGTGTATTCATGCCTGAGCATGTGCTTAATAACAGTTTTGTTGATCTGCACAAGAAGCCTTGGAAACAAGTATCAAACTACAGAGAAGATCATTTACCTGCAAAGACCTTCAAATGGTAAAGATCAAATGCTCAAAGGATGATGTGAGAGTCCATAAGTTGGCAAATTTGTTCATTTCAAATGGTGTACCCCTTGACAAGATTTTAGTCCATCGGAGTGGGAGTGCTTGTGAGTCATACTGCATACCTTCTCTTCATATACCGCATACCTTCTCTTCATATGCCATTTATATCTTCCCATGCTATTTTCTGACAGATGCAAGATACATACTATATGGTTCCTGAAAAACTAAGTTTATACCATTATATAGAGTGAAGTAACTATAAATATTAGCCATTTGATAATATGCTCCATCTAATGGTTGCGAGATAGCAAATCCGAGCATTATCAGTTGTTGGATGAATTTTTCATTTCATAGGATTCTGCCATGTCACCTTGTAATTGAATTCCCACTCTATCATCTCATAGTGTTCTAGAAGCATGTTTTCCCCATGCGAAGAATTATCCATAATCCGCCAATAAAAAAGGCATGGAGAAAAATCTTGATTCTAGAGGGGTGAGAACCGAGTTAGATTATACTGGAGCAGGACCAGTATGTTAACATGGCAGTAAATAAAATGTTAACAATGCAATTGTATAATATTGAAGCATTAATAAAGCACAACCATTACTTAAGTTATTTAGAGAGAAAAATATGTGCACTTCGACTAAAATAGCATTAAACACAAAATAATGAACTCCCCACGATCCCTATTTTTCAAAATTATTGAATTGCTGGCTTTTCTGGTTTCATACTAATTCTCATTTGTAAGTTTGTACCAAGAACACCCTTTTGGCTTTGATCAACAAAGGTGAGCATCAATTTGAGCTTTTAGTTGATTTTTCCCTGATGTTATATATTGATGATGTGTGCAATTTACTGGTTGGAGAAGTATGTTTAATTCGCAGATGATCTGCTTCGTGTAAGATGTTAGATGAGAATCTCTTGCTGTCAACTTAAATTTGTTGCTTCCTAGATGGTCCTGATCTACACACTCGTCCACTCACTGGTACTTATTTTCTACCAGATCTCCATGCGCAGAAGTTGGCAGATCAGGCCATATGTTATCAAATTCTTGGAGCGTTCCTCACTGGTGAGATGAGTTGAGAATTTTGAAGTAGCAACCTTGGTCTTTGCCTGGAATGGACAACAGTACTTGTTGCTCGGATGTTTCAGGTTCGCAGCCGACATAAGTTGTCATGCGTTCTAGTCATTTTTCTGTATGGATTCGCATTGTTTTCAGTACAGGGAAAATTTTGCGCAAGATCCAGGTTAACTCGTGAAGTTGTGGAAAGGTGGTAGACACCGCGCCCAGGCCAATTTTTTTGGATAACGTCGTAAATGAACCCTCACCTTCAGATCCCTCAAATATGTACCCTATACTCACTGATCCCGGTCTATCTCGGCCTTGAACCGTTTTGCGGATTAGGAAAAAGATTATCCCGGCCGGGATCAATCTTTACTCTCACTTACTACACTGGTCCACATGTCATGTTCATTTTCAATCCACGGTTGCCATCCCCTCTCTCCCAAAAATGCAAGTCTCCATTCACGCCCGAGCCAGACAGCTAAGCGTACATGAACGGTGGCAGCGCGTCCACGGTGGTACCTGTTGCTATTGACGATCGTGGTGGCGGGGCCGACCACAAGCACGCCGGAGACGGCAGTGCGCGTCCCATATAAATGGCAATCAGGAAGTAGTCAGGGTCCCTGGCAAAGGGTTGTCGGAGCGAGACACCATCGGAGAGGATCATCGTGATGGACGGTCGGTCCGCCCAGGACGCGAGGAAGAAAGGGCTGCCGCCAAAGATGGCAGATGGCCGCGCCCACGCCATTGCCGCAGCTGAATCCGGTCCTGCCGTTGCCATCAATTGGGGGCCTGGAACGAGGCACTGGAGTGCCCGAGCCGGGAGACGGTGACTGAGGGGGGAACCCCGCAGATGGACACAGCAGCAAAGGAGACCGGGGACAGCCTTACTCTGCAAGAGACAGTGCCACCGTGTAGGATCTACGTTTGTTTAGTTTCACTTTGCGCCGCACCATTCCAAACAGACAAAAGTAGCTGCCCAAGACTGACAAAAACGCATCACCGGAACACATGGAGCGTATCCAGATGCACGGATGTGGTGTTGCAAGATGAATGTAGCACTACAAGAGCACTACAAGATATAAGATGAAATCTGAAATCTCTCTCGTTTTCTGTAAATATGTCCAGAGCTGGTAGCGGCTTAAAGAACAACAGCAGATCCACAAGCACTTGACAACTGTTCCAGTCACGCAAATCATAGCCAAATGACAGTGATAAAGTTCAGAGTAGCACATAGGAATTGACATGAATGGTGCACACTAACAAGTGATCAAAGATCATGTGCTTATTTAGAATAGAGATTGCAAATCTGCATTCTGAAAAGGTTCCCAGATCTGTACGTCGTTGGTCGGCGAAGATGACATCTAGCCCTGGAGCCCGATGATTCCTGGAAAAAAGGAAACAAAAATCATCAGAACAGAAGAGATGCGCAGGGCTTCTATGAATCCATCAGATGCTACTACAAGAAAATAGCAAACAAACAGTAGCGGAAAAGGAAAACAGATAGGCAACTAGACCAGATTGGAGCAACCAAAAAACATCACCAAAGAAAATTTTAACTTACCGCAAGCAACACGGGCACCAGCGTTTCCAGTGCTCTTGCTCAGCTCATGTCCACCTGAAATACAGCACGGGCAGTAATGGTTACATGTGTGTTTCTGAATAGAATGAGCAGCTTCTGGGTTTTTTAAGTGCAGAAATTTCAGTGTATATGTGACAAGCAGGTGAATTTACAGATAGACAAGCAAGCACTGGAAGATTGGCTAGCTAATATCAGATGATCTTAAAACAATACGGTGAATAGAAAGAGAAAATATGCAAATAGAAAAACCTTTGTTCAACTTTAACACAAGAGTTTCTTCTGTGAAGGTAACAACTATGATTTTGAGTTATAAAAACATGAAGCAAAACAATACTGTCATATTACTGTAGCATCACATCATAGATTGGGCCAGTTTCTTGAAACTAATTAAAACTAACAGAATGGTGAACTGAGGGCACCATGGCTACACAATACAATCTGGATATGCCCAATCAAAATAATCTGGACATTCAGGTGGAAGTTCTCATCTTATAAGCATATGCCAAAGCAACACAAGCATTGACTAAGCCAAGCAAATGCTCGGGTGATACCGAGCATATCATAAACCATAACATCTACCCTGCATGCAAATGCCTAAAAAACTTGTGTTGTGCATTCTTTCCTATAGACATGTGATAAGAGTACAAATTTATGTATCATATAAGACACGCAAGCCAGAATTAAATATTAGTTTTATTACCAGATTTTAAGATATAAATTTGGAAATTAGAGGAAAGCAAGAAAAAACACCCCCCAGCTCAATGTTCCATAAGGACAGTTAGTCACGAAGTACTCCTTTGATTTTAACCACTAGCTACAAAAAAGCAACAGGTTTATCCAAAAGTAGACTAGAGTTCCCAGGCTCTTCAAACTTATTCATACGACATGAATTCATGATTGTGATCCATTAAAACATATAAAATATACAAGCACATAACTATTCTAGGAATCCTGCAAAAACAACTTCATTCAAGTTTGACAAACAGTCATGCACAGGGAGACATAAAAATGTATGATTCAAGTGTTTCCAAAGCATTACCCTTGCCAAGATCATCAGCGTCACCATGGACGACAACAGCACGGCCAACAATTGAATTTGGTCCAGTAAGGGGGATCTGCCATTCAAAAGTGTGATCAGTGTCAAATGAACTGTGCTGAAACACAATATCAAGAAAAAAGGACAATGTAATATTCCCTCCGTTCCAAAGTAGATGACCCAACTCTATACTAAAGTTAGTATAAAGTTGGGTCATCTATTTTGGAACGGAGGGAGTATGTTTGTAGAGAGAACAAATATTGCTTACATGGCAGTCAGTAACATTGATGTTAGCAACACCTGGGAGACAATAAGTGAACTGTCAGTGAGGCTATGCATGACACACAATGCTACCTAATTTGGAAAAAGAGCAAAAAATATATCTCCAACACAAAGGAATCTAAGTGAAGCAAGAAGTGTATAAACTTAGTACCATCCGCTCCAGCTGTCACATTTCCAAGATCACCAGCATGGCGGATTTCATCTTCGGGTGCCCCATGCACATGACCAGCGGGGTTGAAGTGTGGTCCTACAAAAGAAATCGACCGCACCAATAAGCACAGCACACTTTGTCTGTTCTGAAAGGAAGAAAGAAATTTAGGTACCAGTTGACATGCAGCCATTGGTGGTGTCACCAAGAGCGTGCACATGGAAGCCGTGGAGCCCTTCCTTGAGTCCAGTGACACTTCCCGTCACGGTGGTCGGGCCTAAACAACAACCAACCAATTTACATCCAACGAACATACAGGAAAATGATAGAGAGGCTCTCAAAGCATGTTTGCATAATTACCATCTCCCTCCTGGGTGAAGAAGATGGTGCCCTTGACACCCTCACTGCCGGTAAGCACAGCCACAGCCTTCACCATTGTGTATGTGATCTGCAGTCAAACCCCAGAAGCGAATAATCACTGAAGCGAGGTACCAGGACATCGCAAACCACCCAGCAGTGTTTCAGCACAAACATATCATAAAGCTTGGTAATTGGTACAGTACAGTTCTAGATTCAAGCTAGACACCACAATAATACAGGCTTTGCTTCACCCACACACAATATGAGACACCACAAGCATCAAATCACCATTTACCACTCAAAATCATGGGCTAGCTATGTAATTTCTCAAGTTCAGTAACAGAAAACAACATTAGGATGCAAGGAAACTAACATGGCACCGTAACATGGCATTCAGCTGCCCCAGACCGTCTAGACCCAAAATCCGGGGCATTTCCCACTCCCAAATCGCTGCATCCTCCAACTTAAACGACGGAAACACTTGACAGTAATTTTTACTCCATCCTAGCTACGTAATTCAAGTTCAGCAACAGAAAACAGCTGGATATGACCGTAGGATGAACATGACACAGTACGGGGACGAAATAAACAAGTTCTAATTGAGACGCACGGAACAGTCTACTGCCTCAACCCATCTAAATCCCGAACCCAGAGCACACCCCACGCCCAAATCGCGGCATCATCCAACACCAACGACGGGGACACTTAGCAGTGATCCGTTACCGACCAACCGACGACCACGCACGAGCGTGACTGCACAAGCACGAGCACGGATCGGGACCGCACGAGACCGCGGCCGAATCTAACCCCGAACGAGACGCGCCGGCTATAGATCCGGGCCAAAACCACTCCGGCGAGGTCGTGGTTGCAGATCGAGAGAACGAATTTCGCAGACCTAGATTTCTGGGGAGGGGATCCGGGCGGTACCTACCTCAGGTGACCCCCGGTGCGGTGCGATGCGCGGAGGCGAGGAGGAGTAGTTGGGGAGGAGGAAGGCGAGTCCGACTTGGGTTTATGACTTGGGGGATGGGATGATGAATGGATGATGCTCTGCAGAAGACTCTCGAACCGAGGGCCGGCTAGCTTAAATACAGCAGAGCCGGTGGACTGACGCGCTGGCTCTGCTTCCCTTCACCTACCCCCTCTCGTTTCTTTTTCTTTTCTTCTTTTTATTTTTACTATTCTGACGAAGATGGAGGAAAAATGACTGGTTTTTGTGACTGTTTTGAATTTTCCACAGATTTAGAGCTTGTTTAGGACTGCTCTGCTCCTTAAAATTTAGCTCTGCTCCAAAAACACAAGCCAAACGACACGATATGCGGCTCCGAAAAAAGATAGAATCTAGGGTACAACTCCCAGATTTTTATGAAGCTTTTCAGGGGTGCTTCAAAAACCTCTAGAAGCTGAAGTTGGGGGAAAATTACCCATCAGTAAATGGATACCCCTTCGTTTCTCCACCCATCAACCAATCAAATAGATCATTTCCACCAAATTTCTCGTTCTTAAAGCTGGAGCTACATGAAAGCTAAACATTCTCTTCGATAGTGCTACAACTTCTATATAAAACTGCTTCAAAATGAATTTGGTAGAGTGAAGCCGATTTTGATGAAGCGGAGCAGTCCCAAACAAGCCTTAAGCACACGCTCTTCTCAAAAGCAGTAGTAAAAAAATGAAGAATTTTTTTTTGAAGATGGTGCGCGTGTAGTCCACGCATCTTTGGATAATTGTGCATGCATCTGCGTCTGACTTCTGACCGATGTGCGCTCCTCGATGCCCCGCTCCAGCTTCTGAACTTTTTGAAACGGGTGCGCGTGCAATCCACGCGCAGGTGCCCGTTGCTGATAATCTGCGGCAGCAAAACGATATTAGGGTAAGAGCATCTTCAACAGCATGTGTATATTTGGATGTCTATATATTTATATAAACAATGGTCTAAAAAAATTCTCATATAGACATTCAGTTTTGCATCAGGATCCAAACCGACCCCGCGTCGCCCGCGTCTGGCGACACGGGGGGAACCAGCGCCGCCGCCCAAGCTCCGTCTACGCCGCCGCTCCCTGCAGTGCCGTCGCCGGAGGGCCGGCCGCGCGAAGCCGTGCCGCGCCCAGGGAAGGTGGCGGCTGGGCGGTCTCGTTCCAATCTCTGTGCCAGAATCCCTCCCCCAACCCTCGATCTGGTCGGAGCCGCTCCACCACCGCGCCCCCCTCTCCAGCGCCCCCTCCCTCGTCCACTCCGACGGCGCTTGTCCCCGCCCTGGCCGGTTCCGGGACGGCGGCGGGCGCCCTGATGTCTTCCCCGCGCGCTCGGCCCAGCCCGCCCAGATCCAATCTGGCGAAGCTCCTCCCCCCATGGTGGCCGATTCGTGGCTGCGTCGGCGGAGTCCTGCTGCTCCTGGCGCTGCGCCCCGCCCCCTGCTTCGCGTCCTTGGGTTGGGCTCCGCCTCCTCCCGCCCTCAACCACTCACCGTCGCCAACTGCGGTTCTGCCGCCACATCTCCCACCTCCAGCGCCCCCTGCTTCGTCGTCGTCGTGCTTCTTCACGGTGCTCGCCAACGAAGTCGGCGTCGTGGCTCCTGCGACTCTGGAGCCCTCCACCTCCCAGTTCCCCCGGTGGGCTGCCGTTGTTCGTGGCTTTACCCGCTGGGGGCGCCGCAGCAGCCCCTGGTTTGTCGGCGGAGGCTCCATCCGCCGTTGCCTCGTGGCTAGGCAATGCGCCCTCCATCCTCCTGCTCGGCGTCTTCTCGCCGGCCTCCGACGCCTTCTGCCCTCAACCACTCGTCACCTCTACTGCAGTGCTCCGCATCTTCCTCCTCCGCCACCCCCTGTTCTGTCGTCGTCGTGCTTCTGCTTGCGCTCGCCAACGAAGGTGGCGTCGTGGCTCCTGCCATGGAGCCCTCCACCTCCCATTTCTCCCTCGGTGGGCTGCCACTGCTCGTGGCTTTTCCTGCTGGGGGCGCCTCACCGGTGGTCTTCACTGGTGCCCTCGGCGTCAAGGTGCCTACCGGCGTCGCTTTGCCGGTTGGATTCACCTGGATCTGGGGCCGCCCGTTCCTGCGCTGCTAGGCGCTGTTGGCAGCTGTTCTGCGATGCTCTTTGTGTGAAGATGTGATCGGGGATGGGAGAAATCCATGGTCGGCCGGCTGCTGCTGGCCGAGACAGCGGCGACGCTTCACGTTGTTTCCATCTTGATGGCGTTGTCTTCATCCCCCGGTTCATCGCGATGGCCTGGGTGTACTCTGGGGTGTTCTCTTCTTGGTGATGTCCTTTGACTACGCCGACGATACATAGGTGCCGTGGCGCCGTCTCGGCCTGGCGTGACCTTTTGACTGTACCCCATGGCGCTGGTGGTGTCGCGGCGTTGTGCAGTCTGTACCCCATGACATGGTGTTGTCGCGGCGTTGTGCATTTTGTACCCCATGACACATGTGGTGTCGCGGCGTTGTGCAGTTTGTACCCCATGGCATCGGTGGTGTCGCGGCGTTGTGCGGTCCTGGTTGGCCGGCGCCTTTCGATTGCGTCGATGGTATAGTGTCTTGGTATGGTCTCGACTGACTGTTGCAGTCGAGTGCTCGGGG